TATCTATGTATTACTTGGTGGTATACACTGCGTCCTACCTGTCTAATGACTTTAACCCTTGGGACCTCGACTGTTCATCGTTGGAAGATGCCACACTTCCCGATGTTTTTGTCTGGCTGGCTAGTAGCCCTTGTTGGATCCGGAGCCCCGCCGGGTGAGCCTCAATCCCGGCGGCGAGTTGGAGCATGACTTGTGGCCAATGATTTAGTCTAATTTTACAGCTTTCACTATAAATTTGCCGACTTGAGCAGTTCAATGCTTCGAACTAAAAGAATTTTGGGTGGTCCACGATATTGGACATCCGCCGATAGATTTAGCAGTTGGCCACATGGAGTATAGTTACGTTCGGTGATTGCTGCTCTACAACGCCGTGGATGAGTCCCATTAAACACCGTAAGGGCGCTATTGGCCGTGAACAAGAGTAAAATTTGGGATGTGCCAGGGGACGGTGAGGTATGCAGACTTGTTGTCCCAATGCTGGCCGGTGGTTTTCGTCCAAATGGCAGTCTACTATAGTAGGCCCGTCAATTTGGTATTTGGAGGAAGTGGTATGGAAAATAAAGCAACAGGTACGGTAATTTGTGTTTGGTGGGATCGCGTGCGTAAGAATTAGTTCGGATGAGTCCGGTCAGAAAGTGAAGTGCGCCCTGTCGATGTGTGGAGGCGGGGCATTTGCCGAAGTGTTCGGGAGTTAAACAAATGTTCCCATACAAATATTTATTCCTATCAAGTCAGGAGCTAGACATAGCTCGTGTTAAAAGGTCTACTGCACAATCATCTCGGACGTGATTGGGGAAGAAAGTTATCCTAGTATTCACTCTTCACCCATCGAGGATCTCACAGGGCTTTGATACCTCCATCCGCCTCATTTCCGTCAAAATGTCAACGCTGGACCGTCAGATTAAAAAGATCGGTGAGGTTCCTGATGGTGGAGGATAGGTCTGCCGTTGCACGCGCCGCAACCTTCTAGGATTGGTAAGTATTAGTGTTCTGCCTTATCCATCCCTGTGCGGAAATATGGAACGGTTGCGAAGGTGCGACTGTTAGACCGTCGGTTAGGACAACATCTACCGTGTGCTTCACCGCAGACTGGAAACTAGTGCGATGACTTTCAAGTTCATTAGATTATAGTGGCAGTAGGCTTTCGCTGAAGCTACCGCTCTCCCTCCCCCTACCTTGGCCCTGTGCCATGACTAGGTCAAGGAGATCGAAGGCGGGGGAGCGGAGGTGGCCGGAGTCGCCCTTAAGCGTGCCGCCACACCTGGTTCGGACCCCCATGAAGTGAAAATGCCACAGAGACCACAGTAGGTGTTACCGCAGACTGACTTTCAGTCAACACAAACACTGGGCTGACTGTGCCGTCCGAGTCACCCCGTCAATTGGAAACTTAAAGCCACGGGGTTTTAGCACACCCTCAAGTTCGTCAGATTGTTTGTATTAAGGAAAGTTCACTGAGCCGTCAACCTTCCTCTCAAGCGAAGATACAAGAGCCTTCATTCTTAACTAATTATCTGCCCGCATTGCAGTGCGATTATTTTCGCTGGCAATCTGCTGTTCATGGGCGATCATTGCTGTCCGCCCGATATTAGTTTTCGCTAACCTGAAAAATAAGCGTACCTCACCGTTTACACTGCGTTATTTTGAATGATCAGAATAGCTTGGCCCTCATCCGCAAAACAAATTTAAAGGCAAGTTGCTGCTCACCAGCAGTAGCATACGTTGTCGTTCTGTCGGTTGCGACGGGGTATATTAAAAATGGTGTTGATAGTTCGACGATGTTCACCGCGAGCTTCAGAAAACTGAAGGCAAACGCGGTGACTCAAGCTGGATTATAGCGAAAGAAGACTCGCGCAGAACCTACCACACTCTCCCCCCACTCCCCTACCTGTACCCAGTGTCTAGACAAAAGTCAA